TCAGTTTATTATGAAAAGATACAATTTTTCAACCATTGTTTTGTTTTTCATGCAATTGTCCTAAGAAATGTTTTTTAGACATACGATATTTATGGCATTAACATATTTTTTTTTCAAACAACACATCTTTTTACATGAAAGAGTCATACTTTTTCATATTTGAAGGATTACAATCTTTGGTTATAATTTTTTTTTCTTCTATTGGTCTTAATAATTTTTTTATACTTAAATTAAAATTGCTATGAGCAGTTATTTTTTTTCAAACAACACATCTCTTTAATTTGAAGAGTCATACTTTTCCCTAATTCTTGACTGTTTAAAATTTTTTTGAAGAGTTTCAGTCTCGTGGTTGTAATTATTATGGTTCTATCTAATGGTCTTGAAAATGTATTTGGTTGAACTTTTTTTTCCTCGCAACTCTTGAAAATATTCATTTTAAAACAAAACACAACTCTTGATAATCTATCAATGTACCTTTTCAGATTACTATAAATAGAATGTTTTACAGATGCAANGTGGTTGTAATTATTATGGTTCTATCTAATGGTCTTGAAAATGTATTTGGTTGAACTTTTTTTTCCTCGCAACTCTTGAAAATATTCATTTTAAAACAAAACACAACTCTTGATAATCTATCAATGTACCTTTTCAGATTACTATAAATAGAATGTTTTACAGATGCAATTTTTTAAGAAAATTTATGTGTTTTTTTTTCTAATATAGGTATGATTCTTAGTACTCTTGAATATAATGTTTGATTCATTATATAGTTTTAAACGATCTTTAAAAATTTAATGTGGTGTCTGCAAAAATAATTTAATAGGTTTAGTTTCAGCGAAACTAAACTACCATATCCAAACCAATCTGACTGTAAGAAAACAACCTATTTTTTTTTTTTTGTAATCTCTTATTCTTCTTCTGATAAAGTCCTTTTTTTTTTTGTTTTTCTAACTCAGTTTGTATGGAGGTACTGAACGTCATAGATTTAAAAATGTCGTTCTTTGAATGTTAATTACAGTGTTTTAAAACATATTATATTATTTAATTAAAAGGTTTAAACTGTTCCATCATTTCAACAAATTTTAAAACTTTGTCTTCTCATATATAAAAAGATAAAAGAAAATGACTGCGACTTTAATATTAA